TATCTATCTATCTATCTATACATATATATAGACAGTTAGATAGATAAATATAGATATATATATATATGAAATATTCTCACTTGATAGATATTCGCGACGATGAAGAATCAAAGCACACAAATCATTATGACACACGACTATATTTTATTTCGTTGTTTCGTGAAGCTGGATGTGCTATGTTTGGCTTTATGCTTTACTCAAGACGTCGATCGTGTTTTACCTTCCTCACAAATTCGGAAGCAACGCAGCTGTTTGAAAACAAGACGATCCTCCGCGGGGGAAATCTTTGCGAGAGTGAATTAACGATCGTTTCGAATCAATCGAAAGACAAAGAGGAAAGGACTGGAATTCGTGGCGCGGCTGAAAATAAAAGTAAAATAGAAGAAATAACTTATCGATTGCTTTATAACGCGCTCGTGCAGTTAGTATTATTCTGAACTCAGCGAATCCGGTCGACGTCCTTGCATCGAAATAACTACAGAACATATTACTCTTTATATATAGGGTGTTCCAGGAAGGAAAGTCTGAAAAGAATGAATCGAATAAAGATCGAAAAGTTCATTTAACTCTTTGCGATTTGGTCATTAGAAGGTGACCATGTTAATCTGAGAAATATGAATTTGAACATATATTCAATTGCAAAATATTTTTACACATGCATTGTGATTGAATATTCCCCAGATTTAATTAAATTTTAAAAATTTAAGATTCAGTCGAGTTCCATCCAATTGGAAAATTTAAAAAACTTCCACTGCACCTTCTGAATATAATTGAAAACTTTAAATTAAATAGTTTCGTCATGACTGTATCTCTGTAATGAAATATTTAACCCTCCGCGGCTAATCTGGCAGTTTTGTGTCTTTCGCTCTTCCTCTCGTTTCTTCGAAGTGAATTTTGTTTATTCAACTTCTCAGAATTTAAAATTCCAGAATATAAAATTCATACATATATATATTGACGAATGCAACAGACACTATAATACAATTCAACCGAAAGTTAATAAAAAATGCTTCGAATGATAATATCTCGAAAGTGAAAGCACGTGACAACCATACGTGTGTTCATGGGAATCTGATATCTAGAAAAATTGAACGATAGATCTATTCGACCTAATCGAAACGTCCAATGTCCAGAATTTCGGGTTCGCAAAGGGTTGAATAATGGCGATGAAGGGGAAAAACGGACCAGGGACACCCTATAGATAAGCGAATCGCAGTGACCTGAAGGTTCAACGAAGATCGAACGAACGATCGACGTTCGAGGATGAGTTCGACATGTCCGTCAGGTCATCGCGATCTTACTGTACACGAGATGTTTGTCCATAGCTGGCGGAACACGTGGCGAAACACATGGAGAACACATCCGAGGTACTTTTTCATCGCCCACCACGAACTATTAAAAACCCTCTTCTATTTTTCTATTCTATCTTTCTTCTTCGATCTCCTTATGTATATGTTCAGACATTCGACTGTCGTATTGAGACCGCTTGCTTTTATTCGCGTAAAACGTCCTTCTGCTCGCTGGAAACGAAAAGACTCGACTAATTAAAATGTCGTTACTAAATGTCGATGACGAGAATTTCATTGATAAATATTGGACGAACGAATCTGAAGAGTCGGAGGATTGACTTATATATCGTGAGATGTAAATCATTCGAGTGTAAGGATATTGATTTTCGAATAATATACGCAAATAAAAAGAACGGCGGTTGAATTACTAGTTTTGGTAGTTTTCTTGAATATCGTTCTATTAGCGACATACGTCACTTGTAAATATATTATCCTCTCTCGTTCTGGATTATTAGCAAAGTTTAGCAAATTTTCTGAAATTTTAGTCTGAGGTTTGAATGTAGTGAAAACGATCTCGCATAGTTTCAAGCGTGACAAGCTTAATTTCGAAGAGAAACGTGGTATACACTGTAGTCCCTGCTGTTAACGACGAGCATTTAGTGCGACGATTCTGCTGTAAATAATCCTCACTTTATTACGCATATACGAAACGTTTGACAAGAGGGAAAAATTGTCTCTCTGTGAATGAAAATGTTGTTCCGACTCGAAAGCAGCTCAAGAAAGTAACAATCTGCAGACGTTTTTTAATTAATACAGACAACCTGTTCACACTGTATGTAGTTCTTAATGAAGT